CCGCTCCTTTGCGGTCTCCGCCGCCGCCGTCCGCCCTCAGCTCCGGAGAAAAGATGGTGGGCAGGAACAGCGCCATCGCCGCCGGCGTGTGCGGGGCCCTTTTCATCGGGTACTGCATTTACTTCGACCGCAAGCGACGGAGTGACCCCAACTTCAAGAACAGGCTCCGTGAACGTGAGTGGGTCCCCTCGGGCCTGGCCTCTCCCCCCCCCGACCCCCGCCGGCCGCGCTGGTGACCGCGTGGTGCGGGGGGAGGAGGAGATGGCGCTGGCTGCGCGGCTCCGAGGGCTTCGGGGGCCCTCGTGTCCCGCAATGGTCCCTCCATTTTGAAGGAAGGATTTTTCCCATTTTGTTTTCCCCAAACACTTGCTCTGTAAATGAGCTCTTGTCTGTGTTACAGTTTAGGGTGTGTGTGTGTGTGTGTGTGTGTGTGTGTGTGTGTGGCGGGGTAGGGTGCTTCTTTTTTTTTTTCTTCCTCCTTTCACCTCTTTATTTTTTTATATTTTTCTTTCAATGTATCGTAGAAAATAAGGTCTCGCCAAGTTGCCCGGGCTGATCTCGAACCCGTGGGCTCAGGCAGTCCTCTCACTCCGGCCTCCCAAAGTGCTGGGATTATAGGCGTGAGCCATCGCGCCCGCCCGGCTCACCTCTTGAAGCCTTAACTCTAAAGTCAGGCCTTTTGAATAGGACGAATTTTCTTTCGCCCGAGACCCAGTCGCATGTCCAGTGCGGTTGTGTCCTTGTTGCATTCTTAAACCCTCTTGGTCGCTTCGCTCCGAGTGCTTCCGAGATATGAGTGAATGCTACAGAAATTTGCAGGAGAGTCCAAAGGGCTGCGCTTCTCCTGTGGCTCAGTCTTATTTCGTACCTGCGACATCTTTTAAGCGAGGTCGACTAGGGGGAAACCTTGCCACCAAAACCACGGTGATCCGCTTGGGACTGGCGGGGTGGGGACTGGTGGGAGGGCTGTCTTCATTTGCAACCATAGAAGAGCAGATTGGTTGCAATAAGGAACATTTTTCTAATTTATCTAGATTGCTCAGCCAAAACAGTCTCTGAAGCTAAAATGGATATGTAAGTTATGGAAGCCCGGAATGTGCCGAGAAGTGACTATTATTCACTTAAATGATAGTGATTACTATTTAAGTAAGCTATTTCGAGTCATTTCAAACGTTTGGTAGCCACATGCGAGTAGTGACCACTGTATTGGGCCATCCCGACCTTAGTACCTCTTACAATATGACATCCAGTGGCAGCTCTCTTATGTTTTGTGGGGGAAGGGATATAGACATAATTTGTTTTATTTATGGTTAGGTAGGAGTACTGCTTTGGATTCAGACACTGGGTTTCCAGGGCCAGGTTGGCCACCGATTTAGCGACATCATCTTGGGGTTTCTGAATCTTGATTCCCTTAGCTGTAAAATCAGGAAATGCCACCTACCTCTTGTTGGTTTTTGGGAAGATTAAGTAAGATATTTGAAGTGCCCACCATTATTTTCCTGGCCTAGGAGGTGCCACTGCACAAGTACTGGCAGCCGATGTGACTCCTGGACTTTAGGGTCATTTTCCAGAATGGTTGGCAGTTGGGGTAGGAGTGTTGTTGCATATGTAAAGCTCTTTAAAGAGTGGATTGACCCTTTTCCATGGGAAGCTCTGAAATCCTGTTGAAAACCTTGAGAAGCCGGGCTCGGTGGCTCATGCCTGTAACCCTAGCACTTTGAGAGGCTGAGGAGAGAGGATTGCCTGAAGCCAGGGATTGGAGACCAGCCTGGGCAGCTTGGCGAGACCTCATCTCTGCAGTAAATCAAAAAACTAGCCGGGCATAGTGGCACGTGCCTGTAGTTCCAGCTACTTGGAAGGCTGAGGCAGAAGGATCACCTGAGGCCAACAGGTCGAGGCTGTGGTGGCTGTGAGCACGCTCCTGCACTCTATCCTGGGAGACTGAGTTAGATGCTGACTCCAAAGAAAGAAAGAAAGAAAGAAAACCTTGAAAAAACCAAAAATTGTGGTTGACAAAATCATAAGAACTGTCATTGTACACAGATTTTTGGGGGAATTTGGAGTCTCTGTTGCCCAGGCTGGTCACCGCAGCCTCAGCCTGCTGGGCTCAGGGGATCCTTCCGCCTCAGCCTTCCAAGTAGCCCCCAATACAGTCGCACGCCATCACGCCCGGCTAGTTTTTGTGATTTATTGTAGAGATGAGGTCTCACCAAGTTGCCCAGGCTGGTCTCAGACCCCAGGGTTCAGGCAGTCCTCTTTCCTTGACCTCTCAGAATGTTGGAATTAGAGGCTGAGCCACCGCACCCGGCCTTAGAAATTTTTTATGAATAGCATTATTTTGTTACTTGATATTTTTGTTGGCGGGTAAAACTTATTCATAATAATTTTGCAATCTGTTTAAAGATAACTGCATGACTGGTTCCTTTTTTTGAATCGGGTCTCTCTGTCACCAACACTGGAGTACAGTGAGTGTCACAGTCACTGCTCACCTCAGCCTGGACCTCCTGGGCTCAGCCAACACAGGCATGTGCCACCATACCTGGTTAAATTTTTTAAAAAGTTGGTTTTGTAGAGACAAGGTCTCTTTGTTGCCCAGGCTGGGCTTGAACTCCTGGCCTCAAGTGATCTTGCCTGAGCCACTGCTCCAGCCCTTGTTTCTGCTTTTAAGGAAAAGAGGCTTAAGTTGTTTAAAATAAGGTTTGAGGTTAAATCTGGGATCCTAGTTTATTTAGACTTGTCTCCTGTTAGTAAGAGCAGCATTTCAGAATCTTTAAAGCATAATTTGTATCAGTCTAAATTATCAGTAATGAATGAAGTTTAACTTCCAAATTATAATGCCAACTACAGGAGTGTTTCATTTATAAAGGGCCAGATGAAATGACACATCATTTAAACTACATTAAGTAAGCATCATATTTAAATGAATGCTTTAACAATGATTTATGACCAGGCTTGGTGGCTCAGCCTGTAATCCCAGCACTTTGGGAGGCTGAGGCGAGTGGATTGCCTGAACCCGAGGGTTCGAGACCCACCCGAGCAACTTGGCGAGACCTCGTCTCTACAATAAATAAAAAATTAGCTGGGTGTGGTAGTGCACGCCTGTAGTTCCGGCTACTTGGAAGGCTGAGGCAGAAGGATCACCTGAGTTCAGCAGGTAGAGGCTAGTGACTGTGACAGTGCCACTGCACTCCAGCCTGGGCGACAGAGTGAGACTCCAACTCAAAAATATAAAAAACAAAACAAAAAACTGATACCTAGCAAATACTGAGTAAAGACCTGATTCTGCTGATTGAATGTGTAATTCTTTCTTGATTTTTTATTCAGTTACCATCTGTCCCTTTATCATAGAAATGCTGTTATACTATATCTGGAAGTAAGTTAATGTACCAAGTTAATTGTCCTATGAAACTAAAGTCAGAATTTTAATCTCTTTTTTTTTTTTGATTTGGAGTCTCACTCTGTCACCCAGACTGGAGTGCAGGGCCACACTCATGGCCACCCCAGTGTCGACCTGCTGGGCTCCGGCAAGCCTTCCACCTCAGCCTTCCAAGTAGGTGGAACTACAGGCATGTGCTACCATACCTGGCTAATTTTTTTTTTTTAATGTAGAGATGAGGTCTCACCAAGTTGCCCATACTGGTCTTGAACCCTCGGGCTCAGGCAGTCCACTCGCCTCAGCCTCCCAAAGTGCTGGAATTACAGGCTGAGCCACTGAGCCCGACCTGTTTTTATTTTTTACTTTTTTAAGAGACAGTGTCTTGCTATGTTGCCTAGGCTGTCTTGAACTTTAATTTTAATCTTAACTGCTAAAAGACCCGCCTGGGCAACTTGGCGAGACCTCATCTCTACAATAAAGCAAAAATCAGCTGGGTGTGGTAGCGCGCGCCTGTAATTCCGGCTACTCGGAAGGCTGAGGCGGAAGGATCGCCGGAGCCCAGTGGGTCGAGGCTGCGGTGGCCGGAGCGGCCACTGTACTCCAGTCTGGGTGACGGAGTGAAACTCCAACTCAAAAAAAAAAAAAAAAATGTATAGCAACTAACTGATCTTAAAATTTGATAAAGGGTATTGGCTAAATGTATTCAGTGACAATTACCACTCTTCACCCTCTTAAATATATTCAAGATTGGATAGTGATGGAAACTAAGTTTCACTCTTTTGGGTTTTAGTATCATTTTTTTCGTTTTTACTAAATTCTGGTTTAGCAGATTGAATTTCTCAGTGTTGATTACACACACTTGGCATGATCATTTCTGAGATACTTTTTATTATGATGGAAATGTCTTTACTTCTCCACATTATTGCATATAGAGGCAGGATAATGTTTGAGAACACATACTCTGAAGTTCAACTTTCCTGTATTTGAATTGCTATTCTGCCACTAAGTAGTTGTGGTTGGTAAATTTTCTCATCTGTAAGACGAAGAGTGTGATTGTATTACATAAAATAATAAACATTTTAGTGTGATTGTATTACATAAAATAATAAACATTTAGAATAGTGTCTGCCGTGTAGCAGCTAAAACTTGTTGAGTGCTCACTCTGCTTTTTTTTGAGTTGGAGTCTCGCTCTGCCGCCCAGACTGGAGTGCAGTGGCCGTACCCGGCCACCGCAGCCTCGACCTGCTGGGCTCTGGCATCCTTCTGTCTCAGCCTTCAAAGTAGCTGGAACTGCAGGCACGTGTTACCATGCCCGGGTAATTTTTTTGATTTATTGCAGAGATGAGGTCTCGCCAAATTGCCCAGGCAGGTCTCAAACCCGCCGGCTCAGGCAATCCACTCACCTTGGCCTCCCAAAGCGCAGGATTACAGGCTGATCCACCGAGCCCCTAGTGCTCACTCTTAATTAACACTCAGGTGTTCCTTGTCTTCATGTCCAGTTCCTCTGAAGTCTTTCCATTTCCTTTCTAGTCTTGCATACTCTTCTAGTGTATTTCAAGTCTGTACCATATTTAGCAATTTGATAACATCTTCTGGTATAATTTATTATTTTCTGCCTAAAGAGAATGGAAACCCTTAGCTAATTGAGTATAGAGTTAGGTTCTGTATTCTGTTCCCCTCAATTAGTTCTGGAGTGATGAACACTTGGGTAAGGTACTTTGTTAGAAAAATTGGCAGTCTTCAGATGAATATGTAAGGTCTACTTTGACCTACACTTTCTTTGGAATTGCTAGAATTGTATTTAAGCCTTAGAGTGGTAGCACTTTGTATATTATGGGGCACTAAGTTGGCATCAGACACTGGTGTGGTTAAATCTAGTTTGAAAGGATAGGATAAGAAAAGAAGGTACCCTGACCATAGTAAATTAACCACCTGTCTGGCAGATAGGCAAACAGGTCACTGCCTCTTCAGTCATGCATTGAGACTTGGATTTGTCGAGTGCTTTAAGGTTTTCAGAGTACATTTGCTTGTTTTATGGCTTTTGTTTCTCATGGTAGCCCTGTGAGATTAGGCAGGCTTATCTCGGGAGAGTTAAGAGATTTATTTACCTAAGCTAAATCACCCAGCTAATTAGTAGAACCTTACCTTTTCTTAGCTATGCCAATGGTTATTCTCTGTGTCATTGGTAGTTTGTTTGTTTTTGAGTCAGAGTCTCACTCTGTCACCTAAGCTGGAGTGCAGTGGCACACTCATGGCCACCTCAGCCTTCCTAGTAGCTGGAACTACAGTCATGCACCGCCATGCCCAGCTAATTTTGTATTTATTGTGGAGATGAGGTCTTACCAAGTTGCCCAGGCTGATCTCGAACCCATGGGCTCAGGCAGTCTTCTCACCTTGGCTCCCAAAGTGCTGGGATTATAGGAGTGAGCCATCGTGCCTGGCCTCATTGGTAGATTTAGCGATTAATCTTTTTTTTTTTTTTTTTTTTGAGTCAGGAGTCTCACGCTGTCACCCAGGCTGGAGTATAGTGGCACGGTCATGACTCAGAGCTTCAGCCATGGCCTGCAGAACTCAGACTGTCCTTTTGCCTCAGCCTCCTGGGTAGCTGGGACTACAAGACAAGTACTACCATGCCTGGCTAGTTTTTTGTAGAAACGAACTCTGACTTTGTTGCCCAGGAGTCTCAAACTCCTGGCTTCAAGCAATCCTTCTGCCTCCACCTCCCAAAATAATGGGATTGCAAGTGTGAGCTACCATGCCAGGCGAGTAATTTATTATTACTCCTCCTTTAGTAATCTTGGGGGATTGGTTCCAGTACTCCCCTGGTACCAAAATCTGAGAATGCTCAAGTCTCTTAGATAAAATGGTATAGTATTTGCATATAACCTCTACAGTCCTTCCATATAGCTTATGTATGTCATCTCTAGATTACTTATAATACCTATTACAGTGTAAGTGCTCTGTAAGAACTCAATTCCAAATGCTTATATTGTATGAGTTACGAACCAGGCACTGTTAAAAAAATACTTAACATGTATTAACTAATTTAATCCTCACAGCAGCTCTATGAAGTAGATACTCCTCTTATACCAGTGTTAGGAAGACAGTGAGGCCTAGGTTACCAGAACTTGCCCAAGGATATATTGCTAGTGAGTGAGAGTCAGAATACAGACAAGGCAGTTGGGTGTCAAAGCTTGTGCTTTCTGTGTTCCAACACCCTTCCACATGAGGTATACCACTAAAGAGCATTTTAAAATGCTGTTAGTTTCCTACTATTTTCTCCTACTGAAGAGTTAGCTGATGATTAGAGGTTTTAGTTTTTTTTTCCTGAGTTGGAGTCTCACTCTGTCGCCCAGACTGGAGTGCAGTGGCCGCGCCCGGCCACCTCGGCCTCGACCCGCTGGGCTCCGGCAATCCTCCCGCCTCAGCCTTCCGAGTATCCGGAATTACAGGTGTGCACTACCACGCCCGGCTGATTTTTTGATTTATTGTAGAGATGAGGTCTCGTTGCCCAGGCCCGTCTCGAACCCCTAGGCTCAGGCAATCCACTCACCTCAGCCTCCCAAAGGCACCAGATTACAGGCTGAGCCACCAAACCCGGCTGATGAGTAGAGTTTTAAACAACATCTCTTCCTCTTGAGATTTTTATTATTGCTTGATTTCGTGTCAAAAACAAGACAGACAAAACAGCTTGCAGACCTTAGGCAGAGGGTTTGTTATTTCTCTCTTAATCAGTAACGATAGTTAAGATTTAAGCAGTGCATTTCTGAGCACTATTCCCACACCCCCCCCCCATTTTTGCCAAATGTGTAAGTACTATATTTTTAGAAAACTTATTTAATCCCCCCACTTTAAGAATGCCAGGGCGGTGGCTCATGCCTATAATCCCAAACCTTTGGGAGGCTAAGGTGAGAGAATTGGTGAGCACACCAGTTCAAGACCAGCCTGGGCAACTTGGTGAGACCTCATCTCTACAATAAACCAAGAAAAAATGGCCGGTCGTGGGTGACACATGCCTGTAGTTCCAGCTACTTGGAAGGATGAGGAGGAAGGATCGCCTGAGCCTTTGTGTCCTCAGCCTCCATGTCAGAGGGAGACTGACTCACTCTGCAGTTTCAGCTACTTGGAAGGCTGAGGTGGAAGGATCGCCAGAGCCTAGCAGGTGGAGGCTGCAGTGGCTGGGAGCGTGCCACTGCATTCCAGCCTGGGTGACAGAGTGACACTCCAACTCAAAAAAAGAGAGAGAATGCCAGTTAGTTTGCAACATTAACTGAGGATAGAATTTGGTGTATTTCAGTAGTAAAACTCCCTAAAATTAGTTCCTGTTACATGTCCTGTGTAGGTTGGAAGAGGGACTTGAGCTGCATAATGTAACGGTGAATTGCCAGACCTGGTACCCCAAAGGAAAGAATGCTCCCGCCCAGTGTCATTTTGCCTTTCGTAGATTGACCAGAACTAGCCGTGTGGCTCTGGCAGATCATAAGGAAATCAAGGAGGCAGAGATCCTGGAGTCAGGAATGTTTCCCAAATGGAAGTAATGACTGCCACAGCAATTAGACTTCTTTTGATTCTCTTTTGATAATGGCAAAATGAAAATATTACAATACATTTCTTGTAGGGAGAAAGAGACAGAAGCTTGCCAAGGAGAGAGCCGGGCTTTCGAAGGTAATAGTCCGTTTTTTGTTTTGATTATATGACATTCTTTGTAGAAATATTATTTTAAGGTCTGTTTCATATATGTATTTGGAGAAAACCAGTTGATACTGGACATTGCTTTTTATTTTAAAATGTAGTTTGTTGTTTTTAGAAATTGTTTAATAACTTCAACTGCAAGTTGTCCTGTTCTTAATATAAATATAACATTTATTGATTTAATTTTCCTTGCTCCAACTTCCTTTAAAAGAACCATGCTATTCATTTTTAAAGTTATTCAAGATTATTTACACCCAGAATCCTACTGTCCTGCAAGTTTTCAACCTTGCAGTATACAGTTGTCGGCACAACTCTTTTATTTTTTCTTTTCATACATCTTAGGTTCGTGTTGTTGTTGTTTTTGAGTAGGAGTCTCACTGTCAACCAGGCTGGAATGCAGTGGCACTATCACAGCCATTGCAGCCTTGACTTGCTGGGCTTAGGTGATCCTTCCGTCTCACCCTTCCTAGTAGCTGGGACTACAGGTGAGCATCACCACACCTGGCTGATTTTTAAAATTTATTGCAGAGATGCTAGACCTTGGTACCAAAAAGGTACTAGACCATATCATCCAGGCTGGTCTCGAACTCCTGGGTTCAGACAATTCTCTTCTCCTCGGCCTCCCAAAGTGCTGGGTTTACACACATGAGCCACCGTGCCTGGGCTCATGGTTATTTTTAACAACATAGGTTTATTATCTACTCGGTAAAAAATGTTCTGTGGCATTTGTAAGTAAACTAAGTAAATGTTAATCATTGTGCATGCACCTTTTCCTTTTCGTTGAAGTTAGTTATATTGTCTGGATTCCTAAGGCTTAGCCGTTCATTTTAAAGCAAGTTGAGGCAAGAAAAAATTACATCAATTGTAGTTTGTTATTTTGAGACAGTTGTGAATAATCAATACGCCTAGTTGACTGGACATGGTAATAGGTGAAACAGGGAACCACTTTGTTGTTCTAATATGTTGAAACTACCTTTCTGAAATGTATAATATGTTTTTGGTAGTCTTTTCTGTCTATGGACATAGGAAAACAGATGTGCATCTGTGTGTGCTTTTAGTTTCAGGAATAGAATTGAATTCTTACTATATGCTGAGATATTCAATGAATGATATCTCCACTGTCAAAAACTTAAATTCGTTCACCTATGTTGGATAAGAGTGTATACAATGAGCTGGGCTCTGTGGCTCAGCCTGTAATCCCAGCACTTTGGGAGGCCAAGGTGAGTGGATTGCCTGAGCCTGCGGGTTTGAGACCCGCCTGGGCAACTTGGTGAGACCTCATCTCTACAATAAATCAAAAAAATTAGCCGGGCGTGGTAGTGCACGCCTGTAGTTCCAGCTACTTGGAAGGCTGAGGCGGAAGGATCGCCGGAGCCCAGCAGGTCGAGGCTGCGGTGGCCAGGAGCGGCCACTGCACTCCAGTCTGGATGACAGAGTGAGACTCCAACTCAAAAAACAAACAAACAAAAAAGAGTGTATACAATGTAATTCAAGAACCAAAAGCTCATTAATAAAAGTCAAACTTTTTAAATAAAAATGGACATTTTAATAATTGGTATACATTTTACTTGTTTATTTATTTTTTTATTTTTTGAGTTGGAGTCTCACTTTGTCACCCAGACTGGAATGCAGTTGGCTGTTCCTGGCCACCGCAGCCTCGACCTGCTGGATTCTGGCGATCCTTCTGCCTCAGCCTTCCAAGTAGCTGGAACTACAAGCGCGTGCACGCCTGGCTAATTTTTTTTTATTTATTGTAGAGATGAGGTCTCACCAAATTACCCAGGTGGGTCTCGAACCCTTGGGCTCAGGCAGTTCACTCACCTCAGCCTCCCAAAGTGCTGGGATTACAGGTTGAGCCAGTGAGCCTGGCTACATTTTAATTATTTTTTATCTTTTTTCTTTTTTTTGAGACAGGGTCTCACCCTGTCACCCAGGCTAGAGGCTAGAGTGCAGTGGCATGATCTTAGCTCACTGCAGCTTTGAACTATTACATTCAAATGATCTTCCCAGTTCAGCCTTCTGTGTAGCTGGGACTACAGGCACACACTCCTATACTCCTGGCTAATTTTGTTATTTTTTGTAGAGGTAGAGTCTCATCATGTTGCCCAGGCTGGTCTCAAACTCATGTGCTCAAGTGATCCTCCCACCTTTGCCTCCCAAAGTTCTAGATTACAGGCATAAGCCATCACACCAAGTTTATATGTTTTAAAAAGACAAGCCATGTATGTTGAATCATAAGAACAAAGTGGTTACAGTTGTATAAAAATCTACCATAATAGTAATTAGAAAGTATTCTGGAGTAAAATGTGTAGAACAGTGTACATATCTGTATCCTTCACTTTTCCTTTATGTTGATTTAGAGTTTTCTAAGACTGTTCAATACCAGTTTGATTGATAAGTATTTTTTTCTTTCATTTGAATGTGGATACTGAACTCTGCATTCTTAAAAGTATTGTTTAAGACTAAATTTCTTTTATCAGTTTTTTTAAAAATGAGCTATTTTTTTGTTTTATTTTTATTGGTTTTCTGTGTGTTTGTTATATTCCTTGGCATAATTTTGGTGTCAGTTACTAAATATTTTATTTCCAAACAGTTACCTGATCTTAAAGATGCTGAAGCTGTTCAGAAATTCTTCCTTGAAGAAATACAGCTGGGTGAAGAGTTACTAGCTCAAGGTAATAGTCATTAAAAGACTAAGGAACTAGATAGAATTCTTCACACTGATATAAATTTATGATATTAAAGGACTTTTTGGTGTAGTTTGGCTATTAGCAAAGATATTCTAAATATTTCAAGACAGATTTTTAGGCACTTAATTGAGGATTATTTTATAAGACTGGCTGTGAAATGAACTCTTTCTTGTAGTTTCTCATTGTCCATAATGTACTTTAAGTAAGTTTTAAATTTTCTGGCTGTGTCATACGATATAGAAAATATAATAAAATTTTACCTATGATGTTACTCTTAAGCACTTTAGAGTCTATAGCCATATTGCAATATGTAAATAGTATCTGAAGGAATATGGACTAGGAATATACTCCTCAACTCCTTCATCTAATCTTTGGGTCTTTTCCAGTATTTATAGGAAGGAACGGCTATAATAAGTCCCAGAGAAGGTTAGTTAACTTAATCAAGGTCACATGGTGAGTTCATGACACCTCATTTCAGAACGAATCTGTTACCCGATCCAGAATTTTGACTGTTCCTTACATTGTACCTCATTTATTTCATCAGCAGTGTTTACAGATTTTTTTTTTAAGATTCCTATTATGAAATTAAAATTACCAAATTGACAAACCTGGGAAATGTAAATTTACTCAGTAATTTAGAATCTTAAATGTGTACTTATGAATATTTTTAGTGTCAAATTAGCTTTTATTTCAAAAGTAGCTTTGAAGTAGTTGCTGACAATAAAAATGTTATCAGTTGTCAAGTTTTTTTCTTACTCACTGCTGGATCAGTAGATTTAGAGGTAATTGAATTACATGATAAGAGGCATTTGGGTGTGATTTTTTTTGTTGTTTATTTTGTGGGAAGAGAGTAACCATTTAAAATGTTGGGGACCACCTTTACTTTTTATCACGGCTCCCTTTTCCCAAAAAATGCTTTATTGACATGAATTGGAATTTGCCTAGTTAATCTTACCTAAAGAGTCACAGGTAGTCTTATTCCCTGTACCCAAATTGCTGTCAGAAGGATTAAAAATAAGTGAGTAGGAGAACCAACCATCTGTAAGTACAGAGGAATATGGGGTAGAAACCAATTAGGAAGCATTTTCAGATCTTTTACAGACTTTGAACTTCAGTTTCTCCAATGGTCCAAGAGGAGAGGGCCCAGGTGTTGGGGGAAAGGAGAGCATTCCCCTCACTGCTGACATCATGCTTAATCCTGAGTGGCACTACTCTTCTTTTGATAGACTAGTTGAAAATTCCTTCTCACCGGGCTTGGGTGGCTCATCCTGTAATCCCGCCCCTTTGGAAGGCTGAGGTGAGTGGATTGCCTGAGCCCGCGGGTTCGAGACCCGCCTGGGCAACTTGGCAAGATCTCATCTCTACAATAAATCAAAATGAGCCAGGCATGGTAGCGTGCGCCTGTAGTTCCAGCTACTTGGAAGGCTGAGGCGGAAGGATCGTTGGAGCCCAGCAGGTCGAGGCTGAGGTGGCCGGGAGCGGCCACTGCACTCCAGTCTGGGCGACAGAGTGAGACTCCAACTCAAAAAAAAAGAAAAGAAAAGAAAATTCCTTCTCATTACCATTGAATTCCTGTGAATTTATATTATGGAAAATTGTTCAGTAAAGAGAACATAGTAAAAAATTACCTTAATGGTATCAAGAACTCTGAAAGTTCTGAGATTACTTGCATGATGACAGGTTAATCTGCCCTAGTTTTCTGGATGCTGGCAGAAGACAGGAGACTTCTGAGTCAGAGACAAAGGAGAGTTTATCACTCACTGTGCTAGCAGTAGCCAGGGGTATTGGCATTTACACTCACTCTTGAGCCCCAGTCTGTAGGGAATGCAAAGAGGGTTGAGTGAGACCTGTATATGTAGTGGGTGCATATAGGAGAGGATCCCTGAATTTAAGAAACCTAAATTTATTTTATAATGGGCAGTAACGTCTCTTTCCTTTTCCATAGACATAGATGGTGATGTACTCAATAGTAAGCAAGTCTGCTCTTGCTACAGAGAGGAGTGATATGTTCTGAGGTGGTTCACTGTACATACATACTTATTTGTAGCAAAGGCTACAATAACTGCTTCTGCTCAGAAGTGCAGAAATGTTAGTCTTGTGGAGAAATGTTTCCCAGCTTATAAAATGATAACTTAAAAATTTAAGTCCAATAAACTTTTTTTCAGTGAGACAAATGGAAAGAATTAATTTTATTGGAAGTTCAATACAGAGGAGTACTTAATTTGAACCCATATTTAATAGCATAGTTTTGCTCAGAGAATTTGGGACAGTCCTTTGGAGTTTAATTTAGAATGTAACTAACTGAGGACAAGCACTGAATTAAGTGAACCTTCCAAAACTAGCTCTAATTTATTTCTTTGAAGAGTAACATCTGTTGAAAGTCATTTATAAACTGGGCTCCGTGGCTCAGCCTGTAATCCCATGCTTTAGGAGGCTGAGGTGAGTGGATTGCCTGAGCCTGTGGGTTCGAGACCCGCCTGGGCAACTTGGTGAGACCTCATCTCTACAATAAATCAAAAAATTAGCCGGGTGTGGTAGTGTGCGCCTGTAATTCCAGCTACTCGGAATGCTGAGGTGGAAGGATTGCCGGAACCCAGTGGGTCGAGGCTGCAGTGGCCGGGAGCGGCCACTGCACTCCAGTCTGGGCAACAGAGTGAGACTCCAACTCAAAAATAAAAATAAAAAGTCATTTATAGGTAAATGAAAAAAAATGAATCCTCCCAGAGATAATCACTATTTTATTACCTGTTTTCTCATGTTGTAGTCCATTAGTATGACCATTTTTCCTACTAGTATTAGTATCATCTTTATTTTATTTTTATTTGTTTAATATTGATAATAAATAAAATTTAATTCCAATAGCTAGTATCACTTTTAAAATTTTCTTTTGGGTGTATTGAATTCTCACTCTGGAGTGCAGTGGCATACTCCCGGCTACTGCAACCTCCACCTACTGGGCTAAGACAGTCCTTTCACCTCAGCCTTCCAAGTAGCTGTAACTACAGGCATGTACCACCATGTCCAGCTAATTTTTTGATGTATTGTAGAGATAGGGTCTTGCCAAGTTTCCCAGGCTGGTCTCTGTCCCCTCAGCTCAGGCAGTCCTCTTGTCTCTACTCCCCAAAGTGCTGGGATTACAGGCATAAGCCACCGAGCCCGGCTAAAATGTTTTTTCTTAGATTTTCATATGGTGACATTCAGGTAGTACAAAAGGGCTGGTTAAGTGAGGTTGGGTCTCCTTTCCATCTCAGACCCATTCTTCTAGTTCTCTCTTCTCATAGAAAAGTACTATTCCGCTGGGCTTGGTGGCTCAGCCTGTAATCCCGCGCCTTAGGAGCCTGAGGTGAGTGGATTGCCTGAGCCCGCGGGTTCAAGACCCGCCTGGGCAACTTGATGAGACCTCATCTCTACAATAAATCAAAAAAGTTAGTCGGATGTGGTAGCGCGCGCCTGTAATTCCAGCTACTTGGAAGGCTGAGGCGGAAGGATCTCCGGAGCTCAGCAGGTCTAGGCTGTGGTGGCCGGGAGCGGCCACTGCACTCTAGTCTGGATGACAGAGTGAGACTCCAACTCAAAAAAGAAAAGTAAAGTACTATTCTGTTGTTAACAATTTATTTGGTAACCTTTAGAAATATTCTAAGTATGTAAGTAGTAGTATACTTGCACATTTTTACACTTTATTTCCCTTTATGTATGTATATTTGTTTGTTTTAATTAATTTTTTTTTTAGAGACAGGGTCTCACTCTGTCTCCCAGGCTGGCGTGCAGTGGCATGATCTTAGCTCACTGTAGCCTCGAACTCCTGGGTTCAAGTGATCCTCCCACCTCAGCCTCCCAGGTATCTTGGACTTCAGTCACGTGCCCCTACATTTCCAGCTAATTTTGTTACTTTTATCTGTTGTTGTTGTTGTTATTTTGTTATCTCACTATGTTGCCAAGGCTAGTCTCAAATTCCTGTGGTCAAGTGAGGCTCTCACCTGGGTCATTACAGGTATAATGAGCCATTATGCCTGTCTTATATATATTTGAAATACTTTCATATCAGTACATAGAATTCTTAGCTGGGCATGGTGGCTTCCGCCTGTAATCCCAGCACTTTGGGAGGTGGAGGTGAGAAGATTGCCTGAGCCTGTGGATTTGAAACCAGCCTGGGAACTAGGTGAGACCTTGTCTCTATAATAAATCAAAAGACTTACCAGGCATGGTGGTACACGCCTGTGGTTCCAGCTACTTGGAAGGCTGAGATGGAAGGATTGCCTGAGCCCAGCAGGTGGAGGCTGTGGTGGCTGTGAGTGTGCCACTGCACACCAGCCTGGGCGACAGATTGAGACTCTGAATCAAAAAAAAAAAGACAACAATCTTGACTCTTGCTTGTTAATGGCTTCATAATATTTAGTTAGGTTATTTCCAATTTTTTACTTCCACAGTGTTCATCACTTGGAGATAGAATGAAAACTTGAATTTTTGACAAAAGCTTTTAATTGTATATAAATCTTACAGGTGAATATGAGAAGGGTGTAGACCATCTAACAAATGCAATTGCTGTCTGTGGACAGCCACAGCAGTTACTGCAGGTGTTACAGCAAACTCTCCCACCGCCAGTGTTCCAGATGCTTCTGACTAAGCTCCCAACAATTAGTCAGGTAAGGAATTGAAATGTTATGAAATAAAAGTGGGTAGGATCTGATTATTGAATGGTTAGCCTAGTGAACATGATAAAATCATGAAACTCATCTGTGTGATGAAAATAATACTGGGGATGTTAGCTCTCAAACTTTTTTTCCCTAATGCCAAATATCCAAGTGATTGACTGGTCATAAGAGCTAGTGATTGTGCCCTATAGATAGATCAAGAAGTGTCTGTCTTAGGCCTTCGTATTCAAATCTGTGCAAACTTGGGCTATATTCAGCTACTTATACAACTTGCTTCCGGGAGGCCAGGCCTTCAGTTAGGTGGCCTGACAGGAGCTAAGGTGGCATAGCCTGGGCATCAGGTCATAAAGGAGTTTGGGCTTCTGACTTGTTTAACGATTCAGCACTTCTGCTTCTGCTGGGATGGGCTTGGAATTCAGAGCTATTTGACTACATCCTCAAATCCTAATCAAAAGTGCAGGTTACAATTAAAAAACTGCAAAAGATTAATTTATGCGTAACTTGAGTTTAAAAAGTCCCAAAGGTTAGAAGAGTTGGAAAACCAAGGACTTGGTCTGCATCTTTTTTAATGTAGACTAACAGGTTTATAGTGCTAGAGGATTTACATTGGAATCCTCTGTTTAATATCACACGCTGTTTGAAAGGCAGCATGGCACAGTGCTTTTGGAAAATTGACCTGAGGGTGATGTCTTTTGAAATATGTGTGAATTCAAGATGAAGCCTAATTCCTCTCTATAAAAATGCCCTCTTTTACTCAGTTGTCTCACTTCTGGAAATGTTTTCAGAATGCAGTATTCCTTTTTATATATGTATAATGACTATGAGTATTTCCAGGCCAAAAAGGGAAATGTTTGGTTCATAGAATGATCAGTAAAGCACTAGCCACGATTCTCACTTTAAGTGGGAGTGAAGAGAGATGTCAGATTCCTCTTATTTTTAGTTACATAATTACTTGACTAATATGTAGCTTAATATAATGTTATTCCTCCTTTATTAACTTGCCTTGATGTTGCACTGACAGTAGTATGATCATTGTTTCCTTAGATGCTGACAATATATTTTGAAATAAATGTTAGAATGTGTGAACTCTAGCAAGATTTGATTCTTTGAGTACAAAGAGCATTTTATGTTGAACTTGGAATCTTGATTAAATGTTTGTGACACTTAAAAAATTTTCTTTTCTCTTTCAGAGAATTGTAAGTGCTCAGAGCTTGGCTGAAGATGATGTGGAATGAGAAACAAATGTCAACATGATAAGATCTCGGTTTAAAATGTTCTAAAAATTCTAAACTTGGAGGCTGAGCAGTTCTGGGGGAGTAAGGGCAGAGATGCTTGTTATGGACTACTCCACACTGAAATCTACCAAAGTTAATGTTTACTTTGTGTAGATCCATTCGTATGTTTTATTTATTTTTCCCAGTGAAAGGTGTATTTTGATAGAGAGCTTTTCATCCTATAAACTATGAGATACTGAAATATGGATTTTGTTTATTCCTAAAACATGCAACTAAAATGTATATATAACATTACGTATGTTAAAATTACCCAGTGCTCAGTTTTGAAACATAGGCACACAAAAAAAGTGTAGGAGAAAGCTGAAGAATGCACATTTTTAGGCTAGTACATTTTGCTGTAAGAGACTTGATTGTGATTGTGAAAACTGAGCATTAAAATTTTTGAGTGATCGTTTCCATTTAATCTCTTAAACGTAACTGTGAGGTATGCTGCTGTGTTGTGTTAACAGCTTCACCCCCTCCCCACCCCGTGTGTCAGTCTTAAAATATTTTGTTTAAATCAGTGGGCTTAGTGTGTTTTGAGTATCTCCTTGTATTTTAGATATATGTAGTTGCAAATAGCACCAGGAATTAGATCTTTGTACGCCCTAACCTAGCCTTGTGAGCTTCACAGTTCATGTCTGCTCACTTCCTCATTACTGATTGAGGGATTTGGTCTGCTGATCTCTGAAGTGTCCCTTTCAGCTTCTATTTGGTTCTATTTCACATTTTATTCAGCTGCACCTGAGGAGTATATGTGGGCAACCAGGTCTTGCATTTTTTTGTTTATTCTGGATTTTGCATGCTCGCCTGACCTAGTATTTCCGAACTGACCTTTTTTTAATGGTATAACTGTTTTGTTGATTTTTCAATGAAATTACGTGGTTCTGTCAATACTCTGTAAATTATTCTGAAAATTTAACCTTTTAAGGTAACTGGGACGATCTGCTTGTAAAACGTGGGTTCCCTTTTTGCTTTTTATTTTCAGTGTACCTCCTTAATCCTGCTTCAACTTGATTAATTTTATCTTGTTAAACAGTGAAAGTAAGGTAAGCCTTGAGGCTGAAGAATTGAAAAGAATGGAGCTGGTGGGACTTCTTATTCTCACATCGTGACATTATCTGCAATCACAGTTTCAGTTTCAGAACTGAGAGTAAGGATCTTTTGTATTTAGTGTGGATCTGTTGAGCTGAGTAACATTTCGCACTGTACAGATTGCCTTTACCCTGCCTAAAATCTGTGGAGCCATCCCAAAGACTTTCCTATGTACCAGGTGTTCTATTTTGGTGTACTTATAGACTTAACTGTTATTAACCTTGGGTTTTTTGTGGTATAGTGGAAAGAGTTGGAATACTGTTGTAGTTTCTGCTTATGTTTAACCTCACAGCCTTGGATGAATCATGTTACATCTCTAAACTGTCCTCTAGTCTCACTATAAAATGTGAACGTTAGACTAGGGACTCACATGTTGCGTATTCTTCCTCAGTACCTTGAAGGTTTGTGATTCTGAACCCTTAAACAGTGCTTTTTTTTGGCGATACACAGTGTCCTTTTTGAGGTAATGACCAGTATAATAAACATGCGAGTCGGTCACTTTTACTGATAGGGTCCCAAATCTAAAGTCATGGTAATTGTCAGGGATTGACCAGGCAGCTAAGAAACAATTCTGTATGAACCCAGGCATCAATAGAGAGTGACAGAGGGAGAATAAAGGTGGGAAAGGAAGCAGGGGGTGGACAGGTCAGCAAGGAAAGAATGGGCCCCTCAAAGTAAGGGCTTGTTTGGAGGAGTGAAGGGGGCACCTTAGATGTGGGGAGGGTGGGAATACTGTGCGCTTGAGGACTAACGCAGGATGAGCTGGGGCATTACTTGACTCTGAAAATAGCTGGCTTTAATCTAATACTTGGAAAGGCAGGGATGTCTTGATTTTACAGCTGATGAGGCCGTGTATATTTTCTTACTTCGATGAAAGCTTTGGTGCTTTAAGGTTAGGTACCACGTTTGAAAGCTAGCTGTATTAATTTTAGAAATCAGCTCTTTTCCCCCCAGAAATATTGCTAAACACTATCCTGGTCCCATCTTAAGTGTTCCAAAGTGATAGAACCAGGTGGTTGTGGTGATGCTGGCCAAATGGTGCTCAGTGGGTAAGAAGGGGGGGAGAAAAAACAGATTTAAGGGAAGTAATAACAGCTTGAATGTTTCCATGTGCTTAATATTGCATACCTATAAAACAAAAAGTCTGTGGAAATAGAAAATGCGTTAGTGCACGTTGACATGCTTATTTGAGCAAAGGTAAATTGTTTGGGTTCACAGTTTATACTTAAAGAACATTTAAAACATACACTTACCTGGTTGTAGCAATGTTGTTCTATTAACAGATAACTAGAACTTACATTCGCATTTATGTAAAGTGTGTAAAACCAGTGTAGTTCGCACAGTAGGCAGTCAGTAAATTTTGATTCCTCTTACCCCTCAGTAAGTTTGATGTTTTTACCATCTGCTTGTCTTTCTGACCTTGTTGAATCAACCTATGGACCAGAATCTTAATGAAATGTTACTGTGGAAGATTATGAGAAAATTGGTATATCATGCAGATATCATACAAAGTCTTGTAACGTAAAAAATCCAGTTTTATTATTGCTTGTGCCTCAACTGTTTAAGTAAACATTAAAGGGCTTGGAGAAAAGTTTGGCTTGGTGTATATTTGTAGAAGTGAACTCTGCTGAATTTGATGACTCCGAAACAGTGGCCCCTAACCCTGCTTAGGTTAACATCCCTTTGAGAAGGTGGAGAGCTAGACAGCGTCTCCCCAGGAATGCACATTTGCCTGTGACTTCCTGGGACTCTCGGCTTCCGGGTTCAGAACCTCTGCTGTAATATCAGGAGCTGAGGGATGCTGTGGGGGTGTGGTGGTTCAGCTCCAGCTGTTACTTGGAAGTCCTTAACAGATTGCTGGGCAGCTAGTGTGGGGCAGGGAGTGGGGTATTTGTGTTTCTAGCAGGTTCTCAGGTCACAGTGATGCTGTCGTCCTGGGATCACTGAATGTGGGAGTGGAACTCAGTTGGGAAATGCGGACAGGAAATCCTTAGAGAATACTGACCGTGTTAATGGTTGCATATTATGTACTGCCACACTAACAAGTGACTAATTGGCAACAGAATGTGATGTTTGAGAACAGCTAGTATCTGCCTTATTGATAATGGTCTGAAGCGTACAGACCATGACTCTCAGACTTTATGTTCAAGGTAGGCTTGTCCATGTAAATGTATTTAGGAAATTTCAGGAAACAGCCCATCAACCAGACAGGTCACTTAAACAAATTACATTCCCTAAGTAATTGTGACTATTTTTATTCCATATTTGTGTTTGTGAGAAAAAGCGAACAATGGCCTCTGTATAATTCGAGTTTGATGTAGGATATTGATTTTTTCTGGAATACAGAGCCTGGATTGGTGCTGAAGGGCACAAAGTATTGAAATTTTAAGTTTTTAAAATAAGAGTTTTTTGTTTTCTCCTTTATTTTATTTTATTTTTTTAATATTTTTTTTTTGTTGTTGTTAGAGTCTCACTCTGTTGCCCAGACTCCCAGACTGGAGTGCAGTGGCACACTCCCGGCACCGCAGCCTTGACCTGCTGGGCTTCAGTCTTCCAAGTAGCTGGAACTACAGGCATGCGCTACCATGTCTGGCTAATTTTTTATTTCTTGTAGAGGTGAGGTCTCGACAAGTTGCCCGGGCGGGTCTCGAACCCACGGGCTCAGGCGGTCCACTCACCTCGGCCTCCCAAAGCGCTGGGATTACAGGCTGAGCCACCGAGCCCGGCTTGTTTTCTCCTTTATAATTTTGTTCTAGCATAAAAATATCTGTCACTTGCCAAGTCATTGGAGTAAAATTAATGCTTCATGGAGGGCATGCTGTGACTTCTGGAGCTCATAACACAGACTGGTTTGGGTAAGCGGGACCAGAGTGTGGTGGAAAGGCCAGGTTGGAGAACAGGGCTGGAATGAACTTGGGCTGGTGGTGGAGGCCATGGGAGGTGAGGCTCAGAGCAGAACTTGCTCCTCTCCGGCCCGGCGCCGTGGCTCATGCCTGTAATTCCAGCAACTTGGGAAGCTGAGCGGAACCATCACTTGAGCCCAGGAATGCGAGGGTGAGGCTTCAGTGAGACCCCCATCTAAAAAAGAACGACTTGCTACTCTCCTAACCTGGCCCAAAGGTCTTGTTTTATCTAGAAAGTCTTCCTGATGTTTCCCTTCTTTCTGGGTGATTCCTCTTTCCTCAACTACACTTATTGCTGATAACACCCCTGAGCTCTGTGGATCAGGGCAATTGCTTGCTCAGCATCATGTGGCCGTCCACAGGCACCTCAAAGCCACATACAGAGTGGAATCCTTTTCCCCTGAGCTTGCTGTCACCTACTCGCCACAGCCCATCAATCAGCAAACCGTGGCCCTCCTGTTACCGTGTCTCATCCATCCTACTTTCTAGAGCCTGACGCCACTGTCCGGTTATTTATCCAACATTACTGCGTGGCCTCGTGGCCTGATTGTGAAACATAATCATGTCCCTCCCTGAATGGCATCCAAGGTCCTCATAATCTGGCCTGATCTAACTCTGCAACCTAATTTCTCAAGTGCTCTCTTCCTCTCCCAAATACATGGAAACGTACAAGGTCTGGCCATACTGAATTAGCTTCCCCCAGTTTGTCTTCCCCTGCAGCCATCCTAGATTTTGCCTTAGCGCTTTTGCACATGGTACACCCTAAGGTTTTGGCCAGGCACTGAGTATCGCCTGGAATAAACTAGTCTGCTTTTGCTGTTCAGTGGAGAGAATTCATAGTGTAGCTTTCCTGGGTGTGGGTTCCTGTGCCCCTCATTGGAGGCTGTATAGAACCCTGAGAGATTGTTACCATAGCATGCCTACTGTAATACCTTGGAGACGTCCATCTTTCTCACTAGACCACTGTCAAAACCCTGTGCCTTAGTGGTCATTGGACTCCCCAGCATAAAGCTCAGTAGAGTGGATGAATGGGAGTCCGAACGGGCAGAAGAAGACTGGGAATTTTTCATGATGAAATCGAAAAGACGGGTTACAGGTGCAAGGTAAGTAGAAGGACAGAAGCACATGATTGAGGAGTGGTGTGGTCTGTTAAAAGCCACTTACCTGGATTGTTAGAAATATACTAGGTTTGAGAATAGAGAAGTGAACATGCCTGTTTGTCTTTTCAAAATATTTCTTGGTGGTCAGCCTTCTAACTTAATAAAATGACACAAAATAAAAGCAACCCTCACAGACATGGGAGAGCATAAGGTTTTTTGTTGAGGGGCAAGTGGGACACACCTGTAATCCCAAGGATACACTGAGATGGGAGGATCACAAGCCCAGGGAGTTCAAGCCAACCTGGGTACAGTGTGACC